TTCACATGTAGGTATCTGAGGTCTCACAGTAGCACAGTGCCAGGGGCCCTGCCCTACATGTATATAAAGCCCATAAGGATCTAAGGGAGGATCTTAGATTCATTATTCTATTGCATGCGGCCTAACAAGCCAATTCACCCCCTAGTTGTGAGCATAAGGCTAAGGGCCCTTTGAGCCCCTTTTTCAGACTGCATATCACTGCGCGTGTCCTCAGCCTAGCCCTTGTGGCAGGCTTTTTATGTGGGATCATTTGTGCAGGTCACAAAAGCAAACTTGCCCTTAATTGGGTTAAGTGCTTTGGTGCTTTGTGATAGGCTGCAGCGACTCCTTGATCGGATACGGTTGGTGAGCTGGCTGCAAATGAAGAGGGCCTTTCTCACCAATCGATTTCAGGATTGTAGTACTCTTGTCTGTGGTGATCTCCTGGTAGCCGTGATAGTTTACGATGAAGCCGGAGAGGTTCTCGACGATGCAGCGAATCGGCATAATATCACCTGTAGCTGTCATAATAATACATGCATTGCTGTCACTGTAGTATAGCCTTGATACATAAATTACTCTAATCGAGTGTCTGGCCTACAGGTGAGCTTTCCGGAGCTTTGATATATCATTCTGTGTGATATATTACCTTGTGCCATCTGCCTTGATGTATCATACCAGAAGTATCTTTTCCTGCCCTTTGATACATTACAAGTACAAGTTGGACAGATATAACAGTGCAGTACCCACACCTTCTGATGCGCCTTCCCATATAATGCGGGCCCATGCTGGGTGGGCCGAGCAGCAGCAGCACCCAATCAGGTGCTTGGGAGCTTTCCTTTCTCAAGCGGCTGAATCAGCAGCCTTATATGGTGAAGTTCCACGGTGCCTGGCATCCCACGGTGCACCTGGTGTGGCTGGCAATACTGATGCACTCCCGCTGCCATTATAGGTCTACACCTTGCGGCCTTCTACATTCAGATCTTATGCTTATTTTTAGGCATAAGAAATAACCTTATATTACCTGAGCTACTGGTAAAATCATACACTAATTCTGTTAAGCCCAAGGAGAAATGTATTAAAATGACAGAGTTGGAAGAGTTCAATTGAAGAGAGTCAGAGAGGTTTTTCAGGGAGGAAACATTGCCATAGCAATGTATGAATATGCAGTAAGGATCTGTTGAGGATTGGCTGCATACTGAAAACACAAGTTAGTGACAAGCGATGACTTTAGCTCCGAAAGCGCACAAGACTCAAAGGCTTCATTTCCGGTGGCATCAGGCTTTACCCAATGCAATTCAAGCAATATATCCTGTCTCACATTCATGTGAGCTCTCAAAATACTTTCAGAAGCTCTGTTAGCATGTAAACCATCATTGTGAAGTGTTACATTGCCTCAATAATATGTAAAATACATCTGTAGCTTCCAAAACTACACAGATCGCATTTTCAGTATGAGCAATATTCGGCCTCCCATTGATCGATCAATGAAGCGTAGACTCCGATCATGATCGTGTTCTTTCTGCCGCGCCGGCCACAGCCACATTCTGCCCATATAAGGATGCTATGTCACATGCTTGACTGGACCGAGAAAGGAAATACTTGCGAGCACCTGATTGGCTGTTTGTCAAGTGTGGCAGCTTCATAATGTATCACCAAACCCTCAGCTTTTTCGATCACAATCAATGATACATCACACAATCCAGGTGGCCTGGGGCCTGATACATTGGTGATACATCAAGCATACAGGTGAGCTGCTTTTGATGTATTGCTTATACATTAACTGACTACAAGGGACTTTAGAGTCATTTATGTATCAGACCTGGACTACACGGACAGCCGTTTCATGTATAAAAATGACAGCTACACCTGATAATATTGCCTTCATTGTCCTCGAGAACGATATGGATCTCCGATTCAGTGACATGCAGATGCCAGAGGTGCTTGCCATGCCACTCAATGAATCCTGCAATCGCCTCGAGGACATCCTCATAAGTGACAGGGAGGTTGTAGATGAAGTTCATAAAGATATGGTTGACATCCGCATTTCTGTGCTGGGCGGATACCACCTCAAGGGTGTCCAGGATGTTCGTTACAAGACGATCGGTCTCGGAGATCAGGTACTTGGCCGTGTTCATGTCGCCACGGACGCGACCAGGCCGAACAAGAGCTCAGATAAAGAATTGGCTGTCCAGTTAGTTCTCGTGCATGATGGCATGGTAGATGTGGAGTTGCTTGCTCTCCGTGAAGCACGGTGTAAGGTTGTAGTTTGACAACCGGCTGAGCTCCAGCTGGTATGTGAGTGCTGGCTCAACATTACAGATGGCCTGCTCTTCCTCCCAGGATGAGCTCATGTTGTGCAGAGTGAAGTATTGCGGGTACAAGCTGAGTCTGCAGATAAGAGTCGAACACCATGCTGAGCGAGAACATGGCTCTGCTGGATAACCAGTTCATGGGCCTTCTTGTACCATGCACTAACCGACAAGTCATCGATCTCCTTGAAGATTCTGAGCGCCATATCCAGGACATTAGGAGGCTGATTATTAGCTCCGTATTGCTCGTGGTACTCCTGAACATCAAATGGCGGCAGGGTGCTTGTGACCTTGTCGAAGCCCCTCGTCAGTGCCGCAAAATTCGGGAATGATGCGATGACACCAGTACGCAGAGGTTGCTTCTGGTGTTTGTTGATCATGTATGTCAGATCGCTGACGGATGCCTGCCTGTGAGCAACGTTGGCATTAGACAACTATCTCAGCCTTCGTATAGGAAAATAGGATAGCCATGCACGATACACTTACAGGCTAGGAGTTGTAGGTGGCGAGAGTAACTGAGGAAGGTTGAATCGCCAGATGACGATGTGAGGAGCATCTCTGTCATCAAGACCATCACCTTCCTCGTAATCGATAGATAGCAAGCTGTAGGCACGGTATGCACACCTGACATAGACTTCCAGTGCAGCTGAATACCGAGCGTGTCAATAATTGGATGGTGAGAAGCTGCTGATACACACCAAATGTGACCCACTGCTCATGGAAATTACAGAATGTCAGCAGCATGTCATACGCTGTATATCTCGAGTCGATCAGCTCTCTCAGCACATCCGCAGATGGTTGTCTATAAGCAAATGAGCAACGAGTAATCCAAATATCACACTTTCCTCGTACCTAACATCATTGCCCTGCTCGCCATAGAAACAGTGCACTGAGCTGTGTCCAGAACATCAGCTGGTCCTGTGCACAGATGTTGTCCTCCATGAAGTGCTCCATGAGCTTGTTGATGCACACCGCCGGGAACTCAGTCGCATCACCTTTACCTCATGCAGTCTCGATTGCAGCACGAATGCCGTCCTCGAGCTTCGAAGATATTCAACCAGACAACGTCGACAGGATGGCTGACACTTCTGAGAATGGCAAATCTGGGATCTCGAGCATCGAGATGAGGTCCTTAAAGGTAGAAGCCATGATTGCCTGGTTGTCGAAGCCGTCCAGAATATCATTCAGGATGTTCAAGTAGTGATGGAGGCGCTGATGTGGCTTGTTCCCAATGACATTTGGGGGATCAATAACAGGCAGGAGGCCCTTGAATGGCTTCACGTGCTTCACGTGGGCAGGATTGTCAAGTGCAAGGATGCCGATGATGGCACCTGGATCCAAGCTTACACCGCCTGGCTTGATGCTGATTCGTTTTAAATCCTCAATCTGTTACCCAGTAATAGGTACGTATGCAGCCTCTACCTATCTAGCTATCTAACTCATTCATTACGCTGTTGACAGCATCAGTCACACAACTCCGGCATCTAGTGCTCATTCGAGACTGCATTCGTCGGACATAGGCAGGATGATCAATGCACCAGTACTGCATGTCAATGGAGACTATCCTGAAGGTGTCTTAACCTGTAGTCTACTGAAGTCCAAAGCTGAATGTTTGCTCTGTCGTAGATGTGGCACAGGCAGTGGAAATGGTGTTCAAGTACAGGAACTATTTCTGCAAGGTCAGTGCATTTATACATCTGACGAGCCCCGGGCTGGGAAAGGCTGCCTTGGTGCATGATCATCTTTCACTCCGCTGTATGTGCTGATCTGTTTTCGAACATGACAGATTGCCTCCAAAAGCTGGCCTCAGTCTCCCTTATCTCCCCACTACTTGTAGTCAGCACGAAGAGGTTCTTCTTTGAGGTAACACAGTCTGGATCTGAAAAGGCAGTGAGCTGACTAGATCCCTCTAAACCTCTCAGGATTTGAAGCGCAAGTTCGTGACGGAACTCATTCATCCTGCAGTACAGGCAAACTGCATTTATGAGGTTGTTACATTCGTACTCAAACTGCTGCTGAAATTGATTGTGCGATTCTCAGAACGTCTACCTCCCCAGAACGTCTCTCGATCACCAAGTGATCGCTTGCAAAATGATGGTCATTGCTGACAGAGGGGATTGCGGGAAAGTCCTCAGTGTGCTGTTTCATGGCTGATACCAATTGCAACACAGTTTCATCTTGCACGGCTGCACTGGCAAGGGCAACGACTGAGTCCGTTTCGGATTTGCCTTCTACGGCTTGAAGCCCGACATCAAGGTGATCGCACCTTGGTGCATTTCCGGTATGCTACTGCTTGCACTCCTTCATTCATTGTGATGATGATGCCTTGTCTTAGAGTCCTACTACTGATTCGTGAGCTGCCAGGCACTTCTCACCTATGCAGCAGAGAAGAAGATACCCGTCCAGCAGACCACCGTCAAGTCATTTTCCACCGACGAGAACCTGTTCCACATCTCCCACGAAGCTGGCACCTTGAGGACCCCAACACCACACCCCCGGCGACATGTGGAAGCTCATCACCACACCCGAGAATGCTCCTGACATGCCCGAGCGCATCTCGATCCACTTTGAGCATGGCCTCCCCATCAAGGTCATCGTCCCCGCGTAGAAGAAGAGTACACTGATGCAGTTGAGATCTTCATCACGCTGAATGCGCTCATGCGCAGGCATGGCATTGGGTGCATCAACATCGTCGAGAACCGCTTCATCGGCATCAAATTGCGTGGGTGCTACAAGTCACCTGCGGCGACGATCCTCCGTGTCGCACACAAAGACATCGAGGGCCTCGCACTCGACCGCAACATCCATGCACTTCGTGATCAGTTCATGACCGTTGAGCTTAACTGTATCCTGTACAATGCTGGTTCATATCCGAGCCAAGAGCGAGTTCATGGTGAGCTCGATCCTGAGCAGTCAGCAAACCGTGAACGGCGTCATCTGCCTCAAGCTGTACAAGGGTCCATTTGTCATGGAGGGCCAGTTGTCAGAGGAGGTTTGTTGGTTGAGCTGTCTCTACATGGCTCTCGCTCATGCTCTCCTACTACAGGTTCTTTATAATGAGAAGCAGTCCTCGATGGATGAGCTCGGCAGCTTCGAGCCGACCGGTGCGACGGGCTTCATCCAGATTGAGTCCATTTGCATCAAAAAGCGCAATTTGCTTTCAGATTTGTGCGCTCATTCGGTACTGACTCTGTGTTGATGGGTGGGCACAGGCCAACATCTGCAAGGGTCAAGCTCGCATTGAGCCTAAGGGCACCTCGTGTCTAAGCACGTCCCAGTGACTTGCATTCAGCGCAATTCTACTGAAATGTGCTGTGATATATGTTGCTACATAGTCAGTGATGTAGGTATTGTATACAGGAGTAATAATCCACTGCTTTCAGAAACAGAACAATGTGGCAGAGCAGAGAGTCCGTTCAAAGGTATTGAATATCTCTGTTCCTTGTTCCAAGAATGACTCGTCCTGCTGCTTCGGAGAATGCACGATGAGTGATATCATCTGAGAAATGACCGTTAGGTACCATCAGACGTATGCGCTTCACAGCTGAGTTCATGTATCGTGCAGGTCGTAAGAGTTGACCTCGTAGATCATCGATCCTTCCTATCGTATGGCAATTGGCACTATCCTACCAGTCGACCTCTGCTTCATCATCCAATTCTCCTATGGTCGCGGTTAGCAACTCAACATCAGCTTGCTGCTCCGGCACCTTCTCTGAATCTGGCTCTTCCTCGAGAAGATCAATGGAAGTGATGAACCCCACCACACCCCTCCTCACGCTGCCCCATCTGTGCTCGATCCATATGCCGTGCCTACCACACGTGAAAATGAACTCTCGCACACCGGGACTGAAGCCACCCCTCACGGAGCTGATAGGCATGGCCAACTAATGCACTGCCACGAGGCAGACAGAAATATGTGAGAACATGTTGTCAGAGGCAGAGTCAGGAGGGAGCATCCGCGAGATGCAGTAGTGGAATAGCGTGCGCAGGACATCACATGTGAGGAAGGAGACAATCACGTGTGGCTCGTTCGACTGGATACATAAAGATCTGTGGGTGCAGAGAAGGATGACCTGCGAAAAATTGTCTGGGGGAGCATATGAGCGATGCTCTGTACATGAAAATGATTCTCGGTTGATGTGCGACTCATGTTGGTGCTAGTTGCATGTCGTTCCACATTAGTCTGGAGACAGGGCAATGTTGATAGCTCAACCACATGGGTCTTGATGCCTAGGATGTGGCAGTGGGTAATGAACCATGTCCCAATTACTCCATTCCACTATGAGGGGCAACGAAATGCATTCCGGTCTCCCAGTTGAAGAGAGGGAACAAACTACAGCATGAAAAGAATGCCAGCCTTCTCTTCAAGTGAACGCACAGATGAACAACATCTGAGTAGGAATCTGCAACATCTGAAGAACTTCAAAGCTGGCATGGAATTCTCCTGAATCGTTCCAGTCGAGCAATGCTACGCAGAGGAAGATGAATCTGCTGACTCTGCACCATTCATCGCAGAGGAATATGAAAGTAAATGGAGTGTATCAGCAGTATGGCACGACGCCTTGGGCCTCTTGGCATCCTCGCATCAGGAAAATCTAACTCCGGCTTTTCGCACCCTTTACCTGACTTATAAGATTTTTCTCACCTTTTCTGAGTGAGAAAGGGCAGATCAGTCTCACATACTCTAAGTAGATCTCAATGCTTTTCTTACTTTCCATCGACTTTTTGCACTCGGTTAAAAGCAGCAGGAATGTCAAGGCTCGAAAAATGTATTCAGTCCATACCTTATGCAGACTTACCGGACTTATCGACGCTCACATTCCTTTATTGCTGGTGGAGCTCCTGAGCTTTTCACACTTTGCGCATGCAGAAAACTCAAATCAAGACATAGAAAAGGTTTGAATAAGACAAATAATAACATTCAGATGGTGGCGAGTCGCACATGGATCCAGCAAGATCGAAAGGTCAATATGTGAGGAATGTAAGCCACAAAGTACATCAGCGCACAAAAAGTCAATGCATAAGAGTGAAATGAAATCTTTAGCTATCAGAAAAGACGTCAAAAGCAGTGCACGAGAACATTGTACAATCTGGGTAAAAGGATGTAAGGAATGGACTGGGATCACAAAAGCCAGACAAAGAACACGCAGGAATCTCAGTTTAACAACATATGATGTCATCATTGACCATTCTGAATGCATAGCTGAGCACTCACGTAGCACTGGCATCAAGAACAGGTTACTTACCTATTCAGAAGCTTCCCTGTTACTCAGAATCAGACCCAGCATCGGCAAGCTTTGCATGCATATCATCCTCCTCGTCATCATCTATCTCGATTGGGGCATGCCTGGTACCAGCTTTCATGTACCAAATGGCACACTCGATCACTTTCGCCATCTTCTTGGGTGGAAGATCGAGTGCAAACTTAGAGTAAGACTTCGTCATCTTGGCATACTTATCTTCGCCAAAGGCTGTAGCCGTTGTGAGTTTGCCAGATGCTGGGTTTGTGTTCTTAAGCATCTTGGATTCACCGTTCTGCAAGAACATGATACCAGTTGTCCAGAATGTGAGAGCGCGTTCGATCTGTATACAAGGTAATCAGCCACAAGCACAGTTATCACAGCCTGCACATGTACCGCCGAAGCTGCCAGGCCAATGGCACTGACCGGTGGCACGTTCTTATCCATCAAATTCGGCACGTCGCTTATGGCACCTCTAATGTTTGAGAGATGACTTCCAAGGAGACGAGAAATGATCTCAGAATGGAACAGTCCTGTCCATTGCTGTGCGAGTTTGGCATCATATGCATCATTTCATGGCCATCAGTGAATGTTATACATGAACCTTGGGACTTCTGTCAGCGTGCTCATACACGAAGCGCATGTTCTCCTTCCAATGCTCTGCAAGCCTCTGGCACTCGGCTTCAGTAGTGCAGTGTGAACGTCCATAAAGGAGATCGAGGACAGCTAGTGCAGAGGTACCAAACCCACTGCGCCATTCATAAAGTCATTGGGTAGCCTGTAAAACCCTCATATCAGTGAAGAGAATCTCGAGATCAGACATGAAGACTGAACGATATTAAAAACATGGTCATGATGCTTAATGATGTATGGAATCTGTGGGTAGATGGCCTTCCAGATGAGCTGCAGCACATGCACAAGCTTCTCATCCTTCACGGCCCATGGCTCTCGAAGACTGCCCACATATTGATGAAGAGTGGGGATGAGAACACGAGTGAAGCGGTCGCCGTCATTAGCTCCAGCCGGTAAGTTTGCTTTCTTCGAGTTGGGGCGCCTTCCTATAGTGACTGTGTGGCCATTGTTTGAGGACTTGACAGATTCCTCATAGTCTTCAGAATCATTATCGGCATCCTCCAAGTTGCTAGCGTGGTCCTCAACTTTCACGATATCCTATAAAATCATATGAATCATCGAGTGCACAAAGAACAGAACAGACAGACATGCACATCATTTGTCACTCGCTTCAACCGTACTGGCTGCGACATATCATCTACATCATAGTTTGACTCATCTCTAAAATGGATCTTCCTTCCCTAGTCCAGGATTAGTGTAAATACGGATAACATTCTGTCTTATATCACCTTCGAATAAATGGGTCTCGCAAAAGGCGTGGCCTCTAGATCGCTGTCCTCATCAAGTTTGACGAGTCCCTTGGTACATGGATGACATCAGCACTACATCAGAGGAGCTTTTTGACACTCACTGCACTGGTCAATTGGGTACCAGCACCTTTGATGGGACTCGAGAGGGCAGCAGTCTCCTCGGCACCTTCGCTGTCATCACTGGCGAAGCCAGTTTCTTGCACGAGAACTCCGGTGACTTCAGCATTACGCCTGCCTACATTTTGTCTCGATGGAACTATCCAAAATGAAACAGTATCGTCAGTCTTACCATCAGCTGTTTCAGCTTGCAGGCCAGTTGTTGCAAAGTGAGGAACAGAGGTCATCGATCCAAGCTTCCATGGAGCCAGTGCGGAGCTCTGCCAGTCATGAAGAGGTCCTGACGGCACAGTACGGGTCTTCTGGGCTGGTGCACTATGAATACAAACATCGTCGAGAATAACTGTGGCAGCACAGAGACAAAGAGTAGCACTGACCTTACACCAGTACGCTTCGGCGCTTTGCCTTTGTCATCATTGTGACGTGCAGGCACTTCTCTTCCTTCAAGTCGAGCTCTCTCTATCGCAATTCTGGGACGTTCATCTACCCCCTTCTGCCTCTTGCGTGGCTGTTCCGAGTCTGATGTTGGAAGGTCTATCTTCTCAAACTTGTCATCAGCATGATTCATCTTCCACTTAGGCTGCAGAGCATGCTGCATCTGCGCTGGCTTTGCTACTGTGCCTTCTGCATTACTACGACCTCCGTGCCTGCGCTGCCCTGTCTTGACCTTGGCCCGCTTAGTGACCCTGTTAAGCTCTTCACTGATATCCTCATCTGCCATCTTGTTCTCTAGGCTCGCAATATTCTTCACTGCATGCTTCGTCTTGTTTTCCTTCTGCTCCTTCATCTCGCGCTTCCTCTCTTTGTCTGCTTGAACCTCCACTGAGCTATGTCTGGGTGTCATGGCCAGGACCCTTCCAGGATGCTTTTCAGCATTGGCAGTGTGGGTTACAACTGACATTGTTAGAAGAGTGAGGAGTGAGGAGGTTGGAATGTAGGGTGAGGTTGTGTCAGAAACTGTGCATTCACGATGGGGAGAGAACAACCAAGGTTCATTCACACCCTAGCCCTCTAAACTGTAGTGTTACTTAATCCTCATTTCCCCTTTTGAAAGCCTCTTCTGCATCTAGCAGCCCCAATGGTTTGAAGCGAGTCCTGTCGATCCGCATTTGTACAATATTCCATTTAGCCAAATGTTGGACTTTGCATGACTGGCTTGGGTTGGTGTTATGCATCGCCATTTCCTCTGTGCTGCAGTGTCGCCCCATCCATTCTGCTGGTTTCATCCATGTCAGACATATTTCCCTTTGCGTGTGACCTTCCTGGCTGCGGCAGGCATTTTCAAAACAATGCAGGTCGAACAAAGCACCGTCGTGTCACCCATGGGGATCTTCTATACCACGAAGACGCCATTAGGTCTCCCAATAAGCGACATTCCAGTGAGGACTTCGTCACATTGAAAATGCACTGAATGGAGACAACATACCTTCTGTAGCATGCAAGAGACCTCGTAGTCTGAGTGAAGACAGCAAGTACACTTACAAGCATCGAGCTGTTGATCAGATATCCTCACCGAAGTATGACAGGCAAGACCGACGGCGCAATGGTCACTATGACGGTATGAACAATTTCTGCTTGCAGCGCATCTCATGTGATGATACGCCATATGTGATAGATGATAACAGTGGTATATTGCAGCGAAGGGCAGACCTCTCAGACCAACCATACCCACCAAGCGTATCATCTGATCAAGAAAGCATGAACGATGATGAAACCTGTGCAAGATCAGAAAGTGCGCACCACGAAAGCTTTGTCACCTCTGAAGGCCATGAGAACATTGACTTCTACAGTGATGGTGACATTGGGAGCTATGAGCATATAGAAGATCAGTGAGACATCGTCCGAGAATATCATCCAAAGCTTAATGGTTCGTACATGCATTGACTTTATTTGGCAAAAGCTGATGGTAGCAGGAACACCTTGCGATGAGAACGGCCACTTCCTGCCAGAGAATACATGACCAAACCCTCGACTGACGAAGGCATCCCGCGATTATGCTCCATATGCAAATCGGGTTCAATTCGAGCTCGCTGAATTCCTGTTCAAGCATGAACAGATGTCAGCCGGTAACATCAACATCCTACTTCACCTCTGGGCTGCCCATGTTATGAAGCACGGCAATGAAGCACCGTTTCGGAATGCCGAGGAACTGTATCATCTCATCGACTCTACAGAGGTCGGTGATGTGAAATGGCAAAGTTTTACATTGAGCTACCAGGGTGAGCATCCTGACGGTGATGTACCACCATGAATGGCTGCACAGTGTGACATTTGGTTCTGGGATCCTAAAGAAGTTGCAAATAACATTCTCGCAAATCCTGATTTTGATGGCGAGATGGATTACTCCCCTTTCAGAGAATTCTGCAATGATGAACGCCAGCTCAGGGACTTCATGTCAGGTGATTGAGCCTGGAGACAAGCAGTACGTGATCCAATATAGTCTGCGCATTCGACGCAAATAGTTTATAGCATTTTAGGATGCTATCGCGGAGGACCAGAAGATGCATGGTGCATCATTTGTCCCAATTATCCTCGGAAGCGATAAGACCACCGTCTCTGTAGCCACTGGTCAAAATGAATACTACCCGCTGTACATGAGCATTGGTAACCCGCATAATAATGTGCGACGTGTGCATCGTGACACTGTTGCATTGATCAGTTTTCTGGCAATTCTGAAGAGTAAATATGTTCAGATCCTAGAATTTCGAAAAGCCATTGCCCGTTCTGACCTCCATACTTGCAGCTGATAGAAGATACACGAATGACCCGGACTTCCGGAAATTTCGCCGTCAGCTGTTCCATACATCACTATCACACATACTGAAGAGTTTGAAGCCCGGGATGACCATCCCTCAAGTCGTTCGCTGTTCAGACGGACATTTCAGGCATGTTTTATATAGACTTGGGCCTTATATTGCAGATTATCCAGAGCAAGCACTGCTAGCCTGCATCATACAAGGCTGGTGCCCAAAGTGAGTCGTAGTATCCTTACAAGGTTTTGAATTGAAACCTTACACGTATGCAGGTGCACAGCATCAAAGATGGACCTTGATGGCGGTGCAAATGGACGACACTCGTGTAAACATACTGAGTTGCTTGTCAGAGAGTTTGAGCTGGGTGAACTTTGGGCAGACTATGGCATCATCGGAGACATAGTGGTATGTCTTTAGCTATTTGTAACACATTGTATGCTTTCGTGCCATGGTGTATTTACTAACAAATCTCGTTGTACCTGATACAGCCATTCACGAATGATTTTCCATGCGCTAATATCCATGAAATGCTGTCTTCCGATCTTCTTCACCAGTTGATCAAGAGGACCTTCAAAGATCATCTCGTGGACTGGGTCAAACAGTACTTTTCGATCACGCATGGCAATGCTCAGGCAAAGGTGATTATGGCAGACATTGACCGGTGGTGAGTTATGATCCCTTGTTGGCTTGACAGGAGCTTATAATCATCAGAATTGCTTCCATCCCTGCATTCACCAGACTGCGCCAATTTCTCGAGGGTCATGGCTTTAAGCAGTGGACAGGTGATGACTTAAAAGCTTTGATGAAGGTGATGCAATCTGCTGTCGTATGAATAGAGTTGATCTTTTATGCTGACATGCTCCCTATACTTAGGTGTGGCTCCCTGCAATTGTTGGATATGTCCCTCCAGACATGATTCGGGCAATTCGAGCATTTCTCAAGTTCTGTTACATAGCACGTTGCAACGTATATGTGCCAACAAACCTGGAAGCACTGGAAGATGCATTGACTCGCTTCCATCAGTACCGCATCATCTTCGAGAAGTGGGGTGTTTGCATCGATGGCTTCTCTCTTCTGAGACAGCATTCGCTCAAGCACTATAAATGCCTCATCTGGGAATACGGCACACCAAATGGATTGTGCACGTCAATCACCGAATCAAAGCACATCACAGCTGTCAAAGAACCGTGGTGGCAGTTCAATCGCTATAATGCTCTGGGGCAGATGCTATTGACAAATCAGCGTCTTGACAAGCTTGCTGCATCACATGTCGACTTCTCCGATCATGGATTACTAGAGGGTTCCTGCCTATCTGCGGAACATGAAAGTCTACGTGAGAGGTTTGATGATTGACAATGGCATCAGCTGATACACCCATTCAATAGTCGAACCCAACAGTGATGCAGGAGATAATAATCTTGCAGACGATGGTTTTGCACTGCTAGGCAGCCCTGCGCTCGAACTGGCTGCTAGTGATTCACATGATGGAGCAGTGCCAGGACCAACAGTCTGCTCATACATCGTGCTCGCAAAAGTACCCCATGAGTCTTCTGGCACTAGAGCTGAGAACCGCTTATACTAAATGAGCTCAATCATGCGACAGAGAGGCAACATTCTAGAAGCATTGTGTCACAAAGCACCAAAGCACTTAACCCAATTAAGGGCAAGTCTGCTTTTGTGACCTGCA